ATATAAACGATGTAATTTCGTGGTGCAAACTAGCTCGTGGTTAACCAAACGTCAGAAAAGCTCTTGAACCAATTTGAATTGTTTCAATATTCGCAGAAGTATTTCTCCGTGAAAAGGAGTAATTTTGGGACAATTTATACTGCGTAAGAAAGAAAGTGATGAGATTTGTGTTGGATGCAAGCGTCAAAGTTACAGCTCTTTTCTGGGCCGAGAAAATCCCCTCTAAATATTGTAAAAATAGAATTTTGCTAATGAGTTTGAGGACTCGGTTTAGCTCGTGGTTCTTCCAAGTTGCAAAAAGCTCATTAACCAATTTCTATTGTTTTAGTATTCATGCGTTTATATCTTAAGAAAAGAAGGAATTCCTAGAAAATTTTTAACTCGTTGTAAAGAGCGCGAGTAGCTGTATATTGTGTGTGAGTGTCAAAGTTACAGCTCTTTTCTGGACCGAGAAAACCACCCCTAACTATTGAAACAATAGAATTTTGTTAATGAGTTTGAGAACTCGGTTTAGCTCGCGGTTCTTCCAAGTTACCAAAAGCTCATTAACCAATTTCTGTTGTTTCAATATTCATGGATATATATCTCCGGGAAAGAAAAAAAATTCCAGAACAATTTATAATGAGTTGAAAAGAGCGTAATCAGCTGTGTATTGTATGCAAGTATTAAAAAGACAGCTCTCTTGTGGGCCGAGAAAATCCCATCTGAATATTGAAACAATGAAATTTGTTAATGAGTTTGAGAACTCGGTTTAGCTCGCGGTTCTTCCAAGCTACGAAAAGCTCGTTAACAATTTTTTTCTTGTTTGTTTCAATACTCATGGGTATATATCTCCGTGATAGGGAGGAATTTCGGAAAAAATTATGGTGAGTTAAAAAAAGCGTGATAGCTGTGTATATTGTGCGAATGTTAAAGTAACAGCTCTTTTGTGGACTGAGTTTGAAAGCTCGGTGTGGCACGTTGTTCTCCCAAGTTGCCAAAAGCTCATCAACTGATTTCTATTATTTCAATATTCACAGGTTTATATCTCTACGAAAAGGAGGAATTCCTGGAATTTTTATAACTTGTTAGAAAGAGCGTATGTAGCTGTATCTTGTGTGCGAGTGTCAAAGTTACAGATTTTTTGTGGGCCGAGAAAATCCTCTCTGAATATTTAAAAAATAGAATTTTTTTTATGAGTTTCAGAACTCGGTTTAGCTCGTGGTTCTTCCAAGTTGCCAAAACGCTCATTAAACAATTTCTATTGTTTCAATATTCATGGGAACATAACTCCGTGGGAAGAAGGAATTCCGGAATAATTTACAATGAGTTGGAAATAGCGAGATTACAACTTTTGTTGTTTCAATATTCATGGTTGGATTTCTCTTGAAAAAAAAAAGAATTCCGAAATAATTTTTAATGAGTTGAAAAGAGCGTGATTACCTGTGTTTGGTATACAAGTGTCAAAGTGTCAGTTCTCTTCTGGATCGAGAAATCCTTGCTGAATATTGAAGCAATAGAATTTTGTTGATTAGTTTGAAAACTTGGTTTGGCTCGAGGTTCTTCCAAGTTGCCAAATGCTTATTAACCAATTCTATGGTTTCATTATTCGTGGGTACATATCTCCGGGAAAAAGGACGAATTCCGAAACAATATAGAATGGGTTGGAAAGAGCGTGATTAGCTGTGTATTCAATGCTAGAGGCAAAGTTACAGCTCTCTTGTGAGCCGAGAAAATCCCACCTGAATATTGAAGCAATATAATTCTGTTAATGAGTTTTAGAATTCAGTTTAATTCGTTGTTCCTACAAGTTGCCCAGAGCTCATCAACGAATTTTTATTGTTTCAATATTCATGGGTTTACATCTCCGAGAAAAGGAGAGATTCCGGAACAATTCATAGTGAGTTAAAAAGAGCGTGATTAGCTGCGTATTGTGTTCAAGTTTCAGAGTTACAGCTCTTTTCTGGACGAAGAAAATACCCTCTGAATATTGAAACAATAGAATTTTTTTAAAGAAAAAAATGGATGAGTTTTTGCAAGGTATTGACTACATAAGCTTTCCAATACATTTCTACTGTTTTAATATCCATACCTTAATATCTCTGCCAAAGTTGTTACAAGGAAATTCGACTTTTTTGAAGGTTCAACTATGATTAAAGAGAAAAAGAACAGGCAATTAACTGATCCAAAAACAAGATGAAGTCCTTATTTCAACCATATTTTATCCAACTTATTTCCTTATAAATTTAACATATATCTAAACAGTGAGACTGAAATATCTCAATCAGCTAGAGAAAGAAATGCAGGTATTAGGGTCCAAAGTCGAGAGTATGTTACTGACTCAAGTATTTGTATTTGCCATGTTTAGAAATTGAAAAAAAAAGTAAGAATCTCAAACTACTTTTACAAACAAAGGATCAGTATGATTAACAAGTGATATTTGGTGTAGTATTTAAATCAATTCAGTTAACTGACGCAAAACAATGTGTCATGTAAAGTTCAACTAGGTGTACCACAAAAACAATGCAAAACAAAGGTTAGTATAAATTAGAGATGGCAATCAGGCTAAACAAGTATAACGTGCCGACATTTACAATGTCTGAGTAAGCAGCACGCCCAGAGACATAGAAATATTCTTTATCATTTGGACTGACTCTTTCCCCTTGACCATTACACCCTAAAATCAGTATGCATATTCTCCACACTGTTCTCTATACATTTCCTCAGGTGCTAACAAGGAAAACCTCAATTTGTTTAACAATCAAGAGCCTCTTTACTTGTTGATCATTTCCTTTATTCTCCTGACCCTAATGCGTGATTCAGGGGAGATAAAGTAGGGAGAAATTGGATGCTAGTCACTCTATGTTAAAGGGTTACTTGTAACATTTTTACTGTACCTTGTTGAAAGGATATCTCACATATAAACAAAACACTGATATTTAACAAGCCCCCAACTTGCTTTAGACTAACCTGTAACTTACTCAAGTGATTAACATATAGCCACTCTCTACAATATCCAAAAATTATTCAATAAACAGGTAATGAGAATACCCAAAACTTATCAGGTTAAAGTTGTTATCTTGATTTAATATCAAATTCTTGTCATTGATTTACAAGGAAACGTGTAGCAGCTAGAGGGGAGAATTAACAATCAGATCTTGGAAGTTAAGGGTTAAATTATAATTATACAAATTTTGATTATAAGATTATTTCAAGTCCATGAAGTTGTATAGAGCAAAAGGCTCCCTCCATCTTCATTTGTGTTATTTCCCATGTTTTGAAAAGTCTTAAAGAATAACTGAAATGACGACAACTAAAGGGGTTCGTGATTGTTGTTGGAAGTTACACAGTTGGGATTCTTTAGTAATACCAGGTCTGATTACTACCATCACTTTGATGCCTGTAAGACTTCAGATGTCGTGATTAACAAGATGGCCTAAATGCCTTGGATGAGTCCCTTGGCAGGAATGAAACATACCCTTACAGTAATTTAAAAATGATATAAAAAGTTAAATGTAAACCCTTCATATTCCAATAAATCTCTACCTTGATCAAGGAGGCTCTCACAAAGGCCAGAAACCATTTCACTCATCAAATGAGCCCACAATTTCTAGTTAATGACATTCTGTATGCATGGCCCCTTAATTCTGTGACATCATTACAACAAAACAATACCCAATTGCTGTGATTTGTGCAAGATATTTCAGTGCTGTAAAATGATTGGTGCAAGATACATTCCCTGATCTGATTAGTGTGAGCAACATACCACAAATCATTCTAAAATAGAGTAGCTGTTTTTTTCTATAACAAAAAATAATCAAAAACAAAGGGCTAATGCTGGAAATGTCAGCACCAGAATCTCTCAATTCACATAGGAAGCAATTCATGTAAGACTTAACCTTAACAGCATCACTAGAGACGATGGAATTAAAATCCTAGTGGCCTGGATGTCGATGATAGAAAAAAAACAACAGTAAGAGAGCCATGCAGCAGCAGACTACAAAAAGAAACTGATCTGAAAGATGCACCAATCATAGCTGTGGAATTCCATCCAATCACAACTGAGCACAGCAGTATATAGGTGATGGGTACACAATCGACCTCATCACCTGAGAAGACTAGCGGTATGCATTTGAAAGATCAAATCCACATCCAAAGTGACTACATCATGAGACAAACGATTATATTTGTACTTTGAAATCAAGAGCTTTTAACATAAGAGACTGATTCCCACAGCTTTCGGAGCTTGTCCCCATTTTCTGTAGCACGATGTATCCCAACT